AAAAAATCACTTTATGTGCTACAAAGTATACATTAGGAGTGATTTATTTGCAGCTGACCTGGCCAGAAGGGTGGGATCGGACACTGTTCCTGGGGATGTCCTTGGTAAATCGGTGATCATTCCTGCCTGGGGCTTTGTTCTCTGAATCTCATGTCACCTCTTTTGTTTGTAACTGATTGTAAACATGCAGGGGTTTTTGCGCATTTTGGATATGAAACGGCAATACCTCAGACTTGCTTACACCTTTCTTAGGGTTGGGTATCACCACAGGCCTGGGTTCATAAAGGTACCTCATGTCTGAGTTCCACCTTAGGCATGGTACAATATTCCCTGACTCATAACAGAGTCATTCATACAACCTCTCTTTAGGTGCTACGCTGTTCGTATGCACCATGATAAGTACCAGAGGTATTTTCTGTCGTTAAAGTTCTGCTTCTAAGCCAGAGGCTCATGTGGCTACCATGAGGTAAAGGGGAAGAGGGGCAACTAGTTTTTCCCACAGGTGTGTAGTGTTTAGGATATTTAGCACATGAAGACTGTCAGAGAGCATCAAGCTCCTAGGGAAGTGTTGAAGAGCATCTGTGTAACTGCCGCTGGGGACAGAGAGCTCGCAGGAGCACAGCAAAGAGGGCGACCCGGCAGACTTTGCAGCTGAGGTAGTTTGTCCAGATGAGAGTTTGAGGGGGAACTGGAAACAGTGCGCGAGGCAGCGTGGGTCTGCTGGGTGGAGCAAAGACAGCGATGATGGGCGTCAGGGAGTGCTCCCCAGCACCAGCTGGACCAGCCTACCATCCAGAGGTCCTACCATCACCTTGGTCTCAGGCTGCTGGGAGTGGCAGGTCTCTCTCTTGAAAGCTGGGGGGCAATGATGGTCTCGCCTATGAGAGAGATGCTGTGGTCAGAGTGCTGAGCTGCCAGCTGAAGGAACTGCAGAAAGACGTGAGGGCTCCGTAGCATCAGGCAGGATAAACAGGAGCTTGACAGCATCTTGCAGGGGTCCATCAAAGAGACAAGAGTGCCTTCCCTACAGCTGATGGAGGCAGCAATCTGTTGACCAGTCTTGCTCTCAGGTGGTACTGTGGTAGGACAAGACACAATACACACGAACTGAAATACAAAATACCTGTTTTAAGAAAAGCCTTTTTTACTGTGAGAGTGTTCAGATGCTGAAACAGGTTGCCCAGAGAGGTTATGGAGTTGATTTATACGTTTTGGGACAAAAGAGTTAAGAATATCTGCTGGTTTTTACTACTTATCAGTCATAAGTCACATGCTCTTCATATTAAATGTTTCCTTAGTTCAGTATTTTGAAGGGTTTAATTACAGGGGAAAATGTCATTTGATTGACTAGAAATGCAGATTTTGTTTGTCAGGAAATTAAGAAGGATGCCCGAAGGCAGAGTTTGACTGACTGCAGTAGATTATTTTGAAATTTTCCATTCTTGTTACCTTTATTCAGTTCAGTAATCAGGTACCAACTTGGTCTAAGGAAGAGGCGGGGGGAAGGAAACCATATCATCTCCACTTCAGGCAATATGAGAGGATATAACATGCTGGTTTTTGCCAATAAGGGAGCTGACACTTCTTTGCACTCCTGCTTCCCAGCAATTAAATCCACACTTGTAAGCAAGGGTGAGTGAGACAGTAATGATGGCTGTACCTATGGCACGTTCATTCACTTGTCTAGTAAATTATTTTATGAAATCACACTCTGTCATTGAAGTCCAATTGTTAGAAAGACTTTCTGGGAGAAATGCAGTAACTACGCTTCAAAGAAAGAAAATATCTTTAGAAAAAGAACATCTTGATAGATGAGTTTGGTTTGTATTGTGAATGTGTCTTTCAGAAAATCTGATCTCCCATTCAGCCTTCTCATTTTTGAGGAAGTTAAAATGTTTTCTCTGTCACAAAGGATGGTGATCAAAGTGTGCTTTCACGGCAACAACCCAAGGTTCCCATAATTTTCTCAAAAATACTCTTTTTTTTTAAGCATTTACATGCTTCACAGTTTAAAATGAAAAAAAAATCCACTGTGTGTATTAATTGAGGATGTATATAAGAGTATATAAACAATCAAATTACAAACAATTTAAAATTTTGCTTTGATTCTTTGTATTCATAGACCGCATTATTCTTAAGAAAAACAGATGCTCTATTATATTTGAAAAGAAAATCATTAAGATAATGAAATTTTAGCAGAAGTCACAGATTGCACGACATACATGTTTAATACTTCAGACTCCTCATAAATTTAATTTCTGTTAAAAAGTTTACCATGTTTTTATAGTACCATTGTTTAGAATATTGATTACTAGATTGACATGGCATTACACATAGCAGATTTACAAGCACTGATACAAAAAAACCTCTTCCTGTTTTTATTTTATATATTTATTTTTAAAGCTAGAACTGCTTTAAGGAAGAAAAGCTTTCAGACTGCACCATTTTACAAAATAACCATATTAATTTTGTGTATGAAAACAGATCTACTTTTTTAATTCTAAAATTACCCATCTTTATCGCTTCAGAGTTACTATGGAGGGTGCCAGTAAATTGAGCTTCAGTTTGGCAGAGCATCAAGGGGATTTACATACAGCAAGCTGGGCAAGCAAGTTTTTGTAATTCTTATGGTAAAAGCAAAAAAAACCATATGCCTGGTTTGGTTGTTGTGGTCTGCTTTATCTTATTTTTATATAGAAAGCTCTGGGAAAGTGACCAGTTGTCTTTAAGTTAGTTGCAGTTTATTTAGAAAGGTAAAATACATGTGCAGTGTTTCAGCAGATAATAGATGGCTCTCAAATGCATTAAATAACTTCAAGTGTTTAAAACATTCTTTAAAAGGGAATTGTATTTGTAAATTCTACACTGTTGTCTAATAAAGTCCTAGATTTACCTACCAGGAAATGTGTTTTGGTGAGCTTGACTCATAATTATGAGACTTAAAACATTTTAACATGAAATATGAGATGAAGCACACTGAATGAAAGTGATAACTATATGTATTATTCCTTCAGTACCACAAATAACTGTCTTTTTAATCTTTTTTTTCCAAGATGTGTTGGGAGAATTTTAATTTCCAAGGATCAGGGCCCATATAATAAATTTTACTTGCATTTAGAGGGTAACATATACCCTCTACCCTCTCATGAAGTGTGGAGCATTCTGTGTGTTCTTACTTGTTGGCTGGGGGGCCACTTGGCCAATTTTGATGCAAGGGGAAGGGAATGTGCTGCTTCGAGTGCTTTAGACAACTAACAAACATTAGATCAGTTTTACAGATTCTGTAGGAATTCCTTTTAGTTTACATAGGGAGAACTGAAAAGGCTGAAGTAATATTACCTGTTAATTTAAGCATGAATGTTTTCTGAAGGCAACTCCTGTACCTAATTTTCAGTCTCTCCCTGTGGCACCCACACACACTTTTCCCTTTCTCTGAAATGGCCTTATAGCCCATTCGCTGACAGTAAAATGATCCTTCTTTTTGCAAATGCATGCTTGTCTATACTACAAAAGATAGTAAATAGAGGCACAGTTAACTGGTTCCTTGCTGGCCTAGGTCGGCTGCGTGATGTCTTACTGCATGTTACCATGATCAGCTGTACCTGGGTAGGCTGCTGCCATTCTGTTGTTCTTTGTGCCCATACACAGTGAACTCTGTGAAGTACAGTTGTATTTAGCCTCCATTTTTTTAAAAAGGCTTTGATAACATGGTACTGCTGATATTTTTAAAAGCATTGTGTAAGTGAAGAAATTCAACAGAATAAAGATGGAATTCATTCCACCTAATTTTATCTGTCTAAAAATGAAGTGCCTTAGCTGTGAGTTACAGTAGATCTCTCTGTCATCAGAGTAAGGAAAAGGGGAATCTCTAGAGGATGATTCTGAGCTATCTAGTGTGGTTATCTCTGTCCATGGGCTGCAGAAGGACTCTAGAGGACTGGGTTAGGCTGGTCTTGTTTGGAAGGACAAACGCCATCTTTCAGTGGCTGGAAGTACTGTGGATTGAACCATTGCATGGGGATCTAAATCTACAGGCTTTTCTTTACCATGATTTTCCCTCAAACCTGCTTTTCCAGTGTAATACATGCTTAAGATTCAAAAAGTGTAATGGTTTTGTGTTTATTGTCAGAATTTTAGGCCTATTGCTGGATAAGCTGCAAATAAAATTGAAATTATAATTTTAGGATTCATGTAATTAATGCACAGTGAGCTGTATTTGGTTTTTTAATGTGTGAATCATTACGTTTTAGAAGATTTACAGCACATAAAACAAATTATGTAATTAGTGATTTGTTTTTTCAATCACTAATTGAAATAGTGAAATTGATTAGTAATCACTAACTACATAATTTGTTTTTGTTATAGACAGTCAAGATCCAGATGATGACATTTTGTTAGTCAGCACTTCTCTCTAAACATTCATATTCCATTCAAATTAATAAAGTAGTTTTATTGCTGGGTGTAAATTCGTACTTCCCAATGAGTCCAGCATTTGATTACTCAGCCAAACATGGCAGACCTTTATGGTTACATCTATCCCACCACTGTGCAGACATTGTATAAGTTAGATTTTCAAAATACTTTACAGTAAGTTTGAAACTTTAAATTCTGTAAAATAGTTCCAACGGAAAAAACAGGTAAGTGTATTGTTTGCAATGAGGGATACATGTTTTTCTTTTAACCGTATAATGTTATGCAGTTGGGAAGGATGAAATTTGACTTTGGATGCTCATGAGCAATTTATATTGCAGACAAGATCAGTTACCATTGGCAGGGACAAGAAGGGAGGCTGGGCTCTGAACACTGGAAGAGGAAAAAGCCAACACTGAACTCTAAATACAACTTTCTTGTTGATCCATGCATTTCTGTAGCGTGTATATTTTCCTTCCATGAATGTGTTTTATCTACGTATTGGGAGGCTGCGCTGTTAGTTTATCTGAAGAGTAAAATTTTAAAAACAGATGATAATTTCTTATCTTTGTCTGTGTCCTTTTAAATAGGAACAGATGTCTCAGGTGTTAGATGCGATGTTTGAAAAGCTGGTTGAAGGAGGGGAACACGTCATTGATCAAGGAGATGATGGTGACAACTTCTACGTCATCGATAGGTGAATCGCTGCATCTTTTTATAGCACAAAGTATTATGCAAAGGTCTACTGAGAAAAATCTATTTCTCTACATACTTGCATTTAACTTTTACATATGTTTGCATGGGAGAAAGAAATCAGCACACGCGTGAACAGACACGTCTATCTGAGCTACGGAGAGTGGTTTTTAAAAGGAGGCAGATTTTTCGTATGGAAATATGTCCCTGTCCTCTTTATGTATGGCTGGATCCCAAAGGCTGGTTTTTTGTTGTGGGTTTAATTTTTTCTTTTACATGGAAAGAGGTCTACCACAAAACACAGTGGGAAAAGTTTTAACAGCTCAATACTTGAAATCTTACTGCATTTCAATACTATCTGTAGACTTTCTTGTTCACATGAATATTATTAGACCTCAAGTAGCTAATTCATTACTTTTCCTTTGGACATCTGTACCATAAAAAGCATGTAAGTAAAATCCTTGATACTGGTTACTGTTGAATCCAGTGAGGGAGGAAGAGTATTTTCTCTGGCATCCTTCACTAGTCTGTCAGCACAGGCTCCAGCCAGGCTGTCCCAAAACACCTTTTCTTATTTGTACCTTCACTTTGGAGGCTCACACAGTGATTTCTGATGTTGTTTGAAAAGAATATTATGCTAGAACTCTAAAAGAAATGCAGAGGTTGTTGGTCAGTGTAGATCAGTGTAACCAGACGGTCAGAAGAGCTGATTATCTTCAGCACTGGTGCAGCCTCACCTGGAGTGCTGTGTGCAGTTCGGGCGCCACAGTTTAAGAAGGATGTGAAGGTCTTTGAATGTGCCCAGAGGATGGCAACAAAGCTGGTGAAAGAGCTGGAAGGAGTGTCCTCTGAGGAGCGGCTGAGGACTCTGGGCTTGTCCAGTCTGGAGACAAGGAGGCCGAGGGGTGGGCTCATTGCTCTCTACAGCTTCCTGAGGAGAGGAAATGAAGAGGGAGGTGTTGAGCTCTTCTCCCTGGTATCCAAGGATAGGACATATGGGAATGGTTCAAAGCTGTGCCAGGGGAGGTTTAGACTTGACATAAGAAAGTATTTCTTTACTGAGAGGGTGGTCAGACACTGGAACAGGCTTCCTGGAGAGGTGGCCGATGCCCCAGGCCCGTCAGCGTTTAAGGCATTTGGACAATGCCCTTAATAATAATCCTTTAGTCAGCCCTGAAGTGGTCAGGCAGTTGGACTAGGTGACTTCTGTAGGTCTCTTCCAACTGAAATATTCAATGACAAAACAGAAGTGTCAGTTTTCTTTGCTGAAGAGTTGACATTTTTCAGCTTTGTGAGGTTACAGTTTACCATCTCTTATCCAAAAAGCTGCAAGGACTTCACAATATTCTGTCAGCCTTGCAGTTTTTAGGTGCAGTGAATCACCTCGTAGTCCCTTATCAATTGAATTTTTGTACAGGTTTTTGCATTAGTCACATGATTTGTCAACATGTACCATACAAATATTCAGCGCTGAACAAAATTAATGCTCAGCATCAGTGGGGGTGACTATGTCCTGTTTTACAAACTACCAAATTTTACTGCATACCCAGAGCAAGAGAGTTACTAACTTAATGCCAGGGAGAAGAAATCCACAATATATTAGATAAATACATACCTTTATTTCATAATCTGACGTTGCTTTTCATATACATTCCTTCTGTTTCCTGCATCTCTTCTATTTACTACATTATAAATTACTACTTTTAAATACTTTAAATGCAAAATAACTTGTATTATTATTTCAGTGCTCATATCATTGCAGTTTACATTTGTATTTAGGGTGTTTGAAATGAAACTAATTAACAGATACTAAGTTAAATCTTAATTTTGAATATGTTCTGGTGATCATTGTACACCCAGTCTATCTTTAAATTTGGTTAATGTGAAAACTAACAACCCTATCCTTCCCTTTAAAAAGGAACTCTTTTGCTTATGGGAGTGATTGAGATGTCTCAGCAAGGTGTTTAATATAACTTAAACAAGCGAATGGATATATTTCAAATGCTTGATCTTTGGAATTCATGGGATTAAAAAAAAAAACCAAAAACCACCACCCACACTTGAGAGGCTGTGTTGCAAAGACCAGGACTGGATTCTACTTACTGTATTTATATATTTTATTAACAGAGGTACATATGATATTTATGTAAAATGCGATGGTGTTGGGAGATGTGTTGGAACCTATGACAACCGAGGAAGTTTTGGTGAGTTGGCCTTAATGTACAATACACCCAGAGCAGCTACAATTATAGCTACCTCTCCTGGTGCCATCTGGGGTTTGGTAAGTGAAATACATGTTTTAAGCTTTATCTGTTTTATTTATTTAATATAAACTGTACAGGCATGCTATATCAGCATAAAAGTGTTGTAATTCCAGAAAGTTTAATTTTAAAAACTCTGAAAACTTCCAACACAATACTGTCATCTTCCAGAATCTGCAGAAGCAAACCCGAGGTTTAAGAAAACACTGGGGGTTTAAAAAATCATTTTGTTTTATTCTGTTTTATTAATAATTTCCCAAATTGCAAACCACCTGGCAATTACTTAGACACATCTATAAAATGTTTTCCCATATCTTGATGAGAAATACCTTTTGGTTTCAGAGTAAAATTCAGATGTGAGGTTATTTATCAGGGTCATACTGTGTCGATCTTTGACAGCAGTAATATAGAAAAAACTGGGATAGCCATCTTCTTCAAGATGTACGTATCAATCTAATGACTGATCCCAAAATACCATTTTCTTGGTGAAAAACCATGTGTTTTGCTTCAACAACTTAATCTGTATGACATTTGAGACATGGCAGAGTGTAGGGCACTGTAAGAATGGCTTTAAATTGGATCAGGCTGTATTGGCCATCAAGTCCCACCCGTAGCAGTGAAGGCTTACAAAGCATTTCACCAGGACAGAGTCATGCAAAGTTAAGAGAAGAAAACAGCCTAAGTGTAGTTTTTCCATCTGTCTGCTTCACTTGGATTGCCAAACACGAAGGAATGTCCATTTGGCTGATCAGGCAGCAATGAGACTTGTTCTGCTGAAACAGCAGGAAGTGGGCTGTGACCTAAGACCCAGACCCATGTATTTGGCTTTGTTTGTGTAATAACATAAAAACCTGTTGGGAGTGCATAACAATATGTATGGGACCTCAAAATAATAAACAAACTTATTAATATTTAATAAAA